AAAGACAGGGAAAACGAAACAGATAAAATTAAACATGGTTATAACCTGATGCTAAAACTAAAAACAAGGAAATGTACCTCTTTCTTCAGAATTAAAACTAAAATCTTAAATAAAACAGAAAACTTGATGACAACTTTTTGAGAGTTCTCCTTTTTTGGTTTTATGTGGCTTTGTCAGTTCCTGTGATACGATTTGCAGCAAATTTTCAATACTCTGCTCATAGGATTTGTGTAGTCTCTATCCAAGCCCTCTCATTAGCTTTTCTGTGTCCTCTTATATCCTGCTTTTTGTTCCTTTTAACACCACCCCCAAACATGACTTGTGCCAATGCATGATCATTAGTTTTGACTAAATGCCAGACAGATACAATATTCCATCATCTCATCCTGAATGCAGTCTTATCCAATTTCAAATAAATCAGTACCTGATTAGTATTTGGACTCGAAAAAGGCAGCATCTGGCCAAAGGACATTTACTATAATGCCAAGTGTTTAACTCGTTCCTGAAACTCATTCCTGAAACGTTCCTGTTCAACTCGTTCCTGAAACGATAAATATACTTGGACAGGTAACCCACGGGGAATTTGAGGTAGGACTAAGTAAAAATTCTGTCTGAAAGAGGGAAACTGTTGCCAATTGGGATTGTAATTTGGCTTAAAGGTCAATAGTATGATTCACTATAAGACATCTTCCTATGTTTTAATGCGTGTATTAGTTTAGTACATATAAAGAGGCTTAGTAGCTCGTGGACAACGCTTAATTTTATATGTCCAGTATTCAGATCATTTTGATTTATGATCACGTAGAACTATGTATATAGGTTTAAAATATTTTGATAAATCTTTTAATATGTTTAAGGAACGGGACCTGGGTATCATGTAACACACGGAAGGGGTCTTCCTTTTTACACAGGTGTTTGTCCCAACAGGTGGATCATCTTGATGGAAAGAGCAGAAAGGAGACTTTCTCAATTTTCTCCATCTCCCTGCAGCTTTTTTTGCCCTCTGAAAATGTGCTCTGGAGGGTCCTCCTACCATGTGGAATAGATTTCCAAAACACAGAAGTGGATCTGGGGGGACGGAGTGGTGAGCATTAGCAGAAGTCACCCTATTATTGTCTGGAGGAAGTTTTCTTTCGTCTTACTTGTCACAGGAGAGTATTGATCTGGTAGGAATTGAATTGATCTGACCCATTGGTTTCTGCTGTTCCTTACATTAGAACAGTGGGTTCTCGACGTGTGGGTCCTCAAATGTTTTGGCCTTCAACTCCCAGAAATCCTAACAGCTGGTAAACTGGCTGGGATTTGTGGGCGTTATAGGCCAAATCACATGGAAACCCACAGGCATTAGAAGATATCTCTTCATTTTCAGTACATTGAAATCCAAAGTTAGACACACTTGGATCTAAAGCTAAATACACTTAGAATTTGGATTGTTGTAGGTTTTTCGGGCTGTATGGCCATGTTCTAGAAGCATTCTCTCCTGACGTTTCGCCTGCATCTATGGCAGGCATCCTCAGAGGTTGTGAATTTGTTTCTGACTTTCAAACCAACTTTGACTTCCAATGACCTCTGGACACTCTGTTATGAGCAGGCCTGTTCATTTGACTAAGTGAAGCCAAATGTAAAGACCTACTGAAATGAATGGTACACTCTTAGGTATAACTGCATTTGGCTCAATGAGGCAATTTACATCACAAATGGCAAGTTCAGGCAGCAATACTGGTCCAATAAATTATGCTGTAATGAGCCCAAGAACAAGTTGTGGTCCTGCATGGTCCCTTCCTTTCTCTGCTCATCTTGTGCACCCAGCTTCAAGGAAGCCACATTGGTTTATTACACCACAGTTCCCAGTGATGCCCAAACTGGATAAAAACAGAATATGAAGCTTAGCACTGGATGTGAAGAGGTAAAGCAGAAGCTTAGAAGAAATACAGCACATGCCTTATCTAAAAGAACTGTGGTTTGTCAGATCAAGATCATTATGTCAAGTTACAAATTTAGATGACTATCAGCTGTTATTCATCTTGAATGTAAGGTAATTCACAATGTCATTCATGGTGATGAGCTTAAGATACAGCCCTGTTCTAAAATTGTGCTTGCTATGCCAGGAAGAAACAACAATAGGCTGTCATATCTTAGCCTGATTCTGTGTGTACATGCATAATACTGAAATTAAAACTTTTGTAACATTCAACTGAGATGCCTTGACTCCCAATTTCGGAAGAAGCTGAGATATAAATATATATGGTGTTGATGTGTATGAAGTATTTTAAATCCTTGTGAGGTGCGTGCATGTGCATACTTTTTCCTAAATAGGGTTGTCTTCAACAGATGGTGTCTGCATAGAATTAATACATTTATAGACACTTAGAAATTAATATTATTTTAGAGGAGTTATTAACTGCCATTTTCTAAAAGACTTCTTGCACATTGCCTCTTACGATTAGGCCACTCATCTGAGCAGTTATTTCTAGAAGTTGGGTAAGTGCAGTAATTCTTGTCTTATCTTTCCCTGTTTTGAGGAAAGAACTTAAATGCATCTACAGGAATTCAAGATAGATTCTATAGGCTTGTTTTTCAGTTGAATATGTATGTAAGTCGGAACAGGTACATTTTTAAGTGTATCTCTGATCAAACACACACATACACACTAATATACACACACACGCTTTGGACAGCATAGGGAAGGGTTAACGTGATGTTTGTTTTGCTGTCTGTGCCCCTGTTCACTTTCTGCCTTGTGATTTGGCTTGGTGAGAAAGCTTCAGTAGACACACCTTTTCCCCATGATAACTCTTCCAGGAGTGAATTTCCCTTCCTAGGGATAGATTTCTCTCACTTCCTGTTGTCTCACCCCTGTTCTTAACTATGAGTTGTTTGTCAGTGGGATGTTTGTAGCTCAGCGACTGCCTACATATCTGTTCAACAAGTAAACAGTGCAAACTGGAAGAATGTTCACAAGGCAACCATTGCCAACACTGTCAAGATAAGTGCTTAAGATGATAAACACAACTTTTATATATTAATAGACAAAGTGTATACATCTTTTTTTGTAAGAAATTGAATAGAAAATGTATCTATTGAGATTAAAGTATTCGTAATGAGTTAATGTGAGGTAGCCACAAACCAGGGTGTTCTACCTATTTTAGACCTTAATTCCCATTGTCTTACTATTGGTTGCTCTTGTGTGAGTGGTAATCCAAAGCAGTTGGTCTTAAATCCAGTTTTAGATCAAACTAGACACATTGAAGTAACATGATTTGCATAAAAATCGATTCAGAAACCTCTCTTAGGGATTTAGTAAATTGGGATTGGCCTTTAACACCTGCAGTGCAATGAAAGTGGTGAAGGTTGTTGTAGATGGTAAGTACTAAATCCTTTTGCAAAGTTCTGCTTTTTAACTAAGTTTTAAATAAGCACTTTCTGCTTGTCATGTCTCATTTTAATCGGAACAAAGAAATCAAAATGTTGCTTTCTTGCTGTATTAACATACCATTAATACAAACCTCAGAATTTTAAAACATTACATCAAGAAGAGTTGAAATGTAGAGACTATTCAGTTATGTTTTTTCATGGCTGTTATTGACTAAGGCGGTGTATTTGTTGATGTGTATCCTTGCAAATTGATTATTTAATATGTTTTATAGTTTGTGTTCTGCAAGTATAGATATGTTCCTGATGATGACAGAAGATCCCTTCGTCTCCCAGTTCCAAAACCAGTCCACCATACTCTTTGTTCCCTGTTCTCAGCCTTTCCTGTCAATAGATGAGTTGGATTAACTGTATGAAGTGTTAAACCTTTTAACAACTGAAAAATTCCAAGTCCATTGAGGCTTGCTTCCAGGTAAGTACAGTAAAAAATTGAATTGCAACTTAATGATTGAATGTACCAAATGTGTAAGTGAGTTGGTAAAACCAAAGGATCTTACACTGGGCATATAATTGTATTAAGTGTCTCATTCTTAATTGATCCCTATGGAAGGGAATTTTCTGTGTTACTATGCCTTACTGAGTAATTTCTGCTTTAACTAAGAGGCTTAATTTCCTGAGGACACAGTAGTCTCCACACTTGGTGTGTCAGTGGGTTTTCTGCTTCCCTAGCAGTGGCAGGCTTATGTATTAGTTTAGTTTTGTTGTGTGTTTTTAATTGAGGAAAATTAACAACTCTGTACTGCAAGCAGGATCCTGGGGCTGAGCAAGAGGACCTTTTGTGCAAAATCCATGGTGAAAACCCAGCCACCTTAACACTGTTTTCAACATTTTACAAAAGGGTATTCCATTGACCATGGAATAAAGTCAGTCCAAGAAAACGTTCTTTCAAACTTATTTACTGTGAACACTCATTTGATGAATGTGAATGTTTTAAACAAGCTGATTTGAAGAATTAAATATTATATTTTTAAAAATTGTGGACTGGGCTGTGATGCAGCTAGTTAGTAGCCAGCTTCATTAAATCACTACTGACCGAGAGATCATGAGTTCAAAGCCAGCCCAGGTCAGAGTAAGCTCCCGCCATTAATATTCTAGCTTGCTGTTGATCTATGCATCTGTCAAGTAGGAAATTTAGGTACAGGCTTTATGCGGGGAAGTTAATTTAACTAATTAACAACACTATAAAACCTTCCAGCAGCCTGCAGAAGAATGAGAAAGTACTCCATCGAGGAACTTGGTGTCACAAGTGGACGGTGAAGCAGCAGCTCCCCCTGTGGCGGGAATTGAGCCCTCATGAAACCGAAAATGCTGGAATGTTAAATGCCTCTGTGTCTGTCTATGTATGTTGTATGCCTAAATTGCACTGAATATTTGCCCTGTATATGTGCATTGTAATCCGCCCTGAGTCCCCCGGGGTAAGAAGGGTGAAATATTAATACTGTACATAAAATAAATAAATATAACTATTAATGCCATCCTCCACATTCCCCCTTTTCCTCCACACCCCTTTTGAATAATGCTGGATCTGAAGATCTATGGAAAATTAGAAAGCTTAGTCACAACTAACATTTTTCTTAGTCTAATTTTTATTCCTTAACAACCAACATTAGTTTTCATTGAGCTAGTGTTAGATGCGCTGAGTACATCTTGGATCTCCTTGTTTTAGTCATGCTGTTTCAACAGGTTATTGTTTATGAAACAGCACGCCACTCTCTTCGAAGATGGAATTTGAATTGCAAGAGAGGAATTAAGTTGGTGCATACAGTTCTTATAACACAGCTCCAGCTACTTCTCTTAGTTTTAGTGAGAAAAAAGGTAGAACATAAAAGTGCTCCATCATAGTTTGAGAGAGTCTACCGCTCTCTTGTGGTGATGGTGATTTTGAGTTGATACAGTTGATACAAATGAGTAGGGATGCTCTCCATACTCCTTGGAAAAATATTGTATGAACACCAGTGGCTGGCAAGGCTTGTAGTCTAGCATAATTAAGTGACATAATATGTGACAGTGGTTAGCTAGCACCTGAAGAAACTAGTATATATTTTTAGAAAACAATGAGCCAGTTAACTATGACTAGTTCCAGATCTCAAGTTGTTGTACACTATGAAGATAGTCGGAGAACAAGTACACCTTCACATGACCATAGCTAAACTATGGAATCTACTGCTTCAGGATATAGTAGTATCCACCAATTTGGTTGATTTAAAACAGTGGTTCCCAACCTTTGGGCTTCTAGGTATTTTGGATTTCAATTCCCACAATCCTAACAGCTTGTAAGATGGCTGGGATTTGTGGGAGTTAAAATCCAAAACACCTGGAAGCCCAAATATTGGGAACCACTGATTTAAAAAGACGATTAGGGAAACTAAGATGTTATCTCTATCCATCACCAGCTCTTTCTCAGTATGGTTCTGTACATCAGTTGTGAGGGAACTCGAGCAGGAAGGTACTATGGCTTTTCTGTCTTGTCTATGGCCTTCCCATAGGCATCTGCTTGGTCACTATGTAACAGAATGCTGGACTAGAGATACTCTTGGTCTGGTCTATCAAGGTGCTTCTTGTGCTTTTAGTTCTTTAGTTTAGTTCTTTAGTTTAGTTCTTTAGTTTAGTTCTTGTTTGCTGCATTGCCTGTATTGAATCACTACTGACCGAGAGATCATGAGTTCAAAGCCATCCTGGGTCGGAGTAAGCTCCTGGCCATTAATAGTCTGGCTTGCTGTTGACCTAAGCAGCCCAAAAGACAGTTGCATCTGCCAAGTAGAAAATTTAGATACCACTTTATGCGGGGAGGCTAATTTAACTAATTTATGACACTATAAAACCTTCCGGCAGCGTGCAGAAGAATGAGGAAGTATTCCACGTGTATGCATTAAACCATTTGTTTTTCTATTATGAGAAAATTCCCTAGGTGATTTCTCAAAATTTCTTGTCAGAAAATATATGTTGTCAAGTCTAGAAGACTACTACATGCTTCTGCAATATATTTGCACCAGCACTGAGTAGATTGCCATGTCTTGTCAATTAATTAGTTGGAGATTCTAGAAAGGAATGAATGCTTCTTCATTCTGGCCTCCAAGGCTGGCTTCAAGTTGTTGCAGAAGAAACACTAAATGCACATATACACACAACATTTAAGATCAAAAAATCAGCATGACAGTGATGACTCATGGTAATGTCTGAAAACATTATTCTTTTTAACAAACCAAGTGATCTACAATTTCAGATTGAAGGCCCTCAGTGCTTGTTCAGATGGCTGAGTCCTTCAAATCTTCTGTAATAAACTGAAGGTAAGTCCTGGGGGAGATTGGGGTAGCATGGCTTCACATTCAAGGGAACATCTCCTGGTTTCTGAGGCAAATGAACAAACATAGAGGCAGATGGAGCAGTGGCTGGCTTCAAAACAACTTGCGGAAAGATGTGGATTTCAGAGCATAAGCTTTGTGGAGCCCATTTCTGCAGATTTTCCTGGCTTCTGTTAGAAAGTAAACATAAGAAAAGAAGTGGAGTGACTCAGAGAGGTTAAATAGCTGTTTGATTAATTTAAGACAACATTCTGCCACTGTTATGGTGCCAACCATGCACTTATAACACTGAATTGTGACCACTTCGGAAGGCAGTTTACAGCAATATTTGTCATTAAATGGATAGCAAGGCACTCTGGTTGCTGCATACATTGGGGGTGGGGGGAGGATATGAATCATCTGCTGGTTCATTCCTACATGATAGCATTCATTCAATTTGATCTGGTATACATAGAGAGGACCATATATTGTGTAATCTTCCAGGCAGCAGCTTTTGTGTCTGCTGTAAATCAAAATACAATGCAGAATTATAACCCAAGTATCGGGCATTTTCAGATCCTTTGACCTTGTCATGCCATCCTCACTTTGCAAGAACTGAGCAAGGCTGTCAAAAATCGGGGTCTCTCCAAAAGTCTTGCATTCATAAAGTAAAGCTGATAGTGCAAAACAATAACTGATTGATACTATAGTGCTCTGAAAAAGGTAAAGGTTTCCCCTGACATCATTCCTAGTAGTAACTCCCTTCACAGAGGAAAAAAAAAGCCTTAGGGAAGCACTGAACACAAAGAATTGAAAGAATACCTCCTGTGAAAATCCAGTGGTGTTTGTTTGTTTGTTTGTTTTGCATAGTTGCTTTCTGGTTTATTAAATGCTACTCCGCAGAATGGAAAATTACCCACAATTGTTTCATTATTTTAAGCTACTGCATTTTTCAATTGAAGCATGTGATAATATAAGACAATATGAAAAATTCTGAAAAACAAATATTTGAGTTTTGAAAAAGGTGAAAAGTCAACCAGAGGAGAAAACACAGTTTATTGGAGACAGAAATTGTGGATGTCTGAGAGATGAGCAAGAAAACAGGAACCTGATAGGAACAATGCAAAGCGATTGTTTTAGGGAAGGCAGTTAAAGTATTTTATACTTGATTTAAAGTACTACAATCCCAAATACATAGTGGTATTTCAACAGGTTTTAGAATGTTTGCCACAAATACCAGGCAGCTTTCATGGGATGAAACCTTCGTCTCCCTAGATTTTTGGATTATAATATCCATACTCCTTTGCCACTGACCACACTAGCTGATTTTTCTGGAATTTAAAGTCCGAATCACAGGGGGCAAAGGGAGCTCTTTATCCTGGTGTATTGTATATTAAAGCTCCCCCCCCCCGGTGGGGCAGCGGGTTAAACCGCTGAGCTGCTGAACTTGTTCACTGAAAGGTTGGTTGTTCAAATCTGGGGGGAGGGGTGAGCTCCCGCTGTTAGGCACAGCTTCTGCCAACCTAGCAATTCAAAAACATGCAAATGTGAGAAGGTCAATAGGTACCGCTTCTGCAGGAAGGTAATGGCGTTCCATGCAGTTAAGCTGGCCACATGACCTTGGAGGTGTCTACGGACAATGTCGGCTCTTTAGCTTAGAAATTGAAATGAGTACCACTCCCTGGAGTCGGGCATGACTAGACTTAATGTCAGGGGAAATTTTTACATTTACCTTTATAGTATATTGACGTGTACCTGTGAAATTCCTGGTTATTGTATCCTGCCAAGGCCCCTGGATGTGCACAACTGTACAGGGCGGAAGTCCGGTAGTGAAGCCTGCGATTATGCTTCATTTTCCCAAAATGACGCCTGTTTTTCTCCATCTCCTGCTTTATGGAGTTGGCTCTCCCAAACTTGAATCTCCTCCTTGGCGGTTGCCTAGAAGATGAGAAAAGGCACTTGAGAACAGTTTTATAAATAACCATGGTTTATTTAATCTGATCTAGGAAAATGCATTTTCAGATTCCCCCCCAGGATTCCCAGCCCTTCCTTCAACTGGATGATATTTAGACTGCCATTGAATGGTTCCTCCTGTTAACATGCAAATTCTAGACCAGGGGTCCTCAAAATTTCTAAACAGAGGGCCAGGTCACAATCCCTCAAACTGTTGGAGGGCCGGATTATAATTCGAAAGAAACATGAATGAATTCCTATGCACACTGCACATGTCTTATTTGTAGTGCAATGGCCTAACGACCCCCGTAGGGGTCGGGACCCCCAGGTTGAGAAACGCTGGTTTAATTGTTTTTAGTGTTTGGCTAGAAATCCAAGAGACCAGATTTTGAATCCTTACCCAGCCATGAAAACCCACTGGGTGACATCGAACAAGTCACACCCTCTCAGCTCAAGAGGAAGGCAATGGCAAACCCCCTCTGAATAAATCTTGCCAAGAAAGCCCTATGATAGTGTTGCCATAAGTTGGAATCGACTTAAAGGCTCATAGCAACAACAGTGGCACAACTGCCTTAACAATGTTAAGCTTGCTGTAGAATAGGACCCTTGCAGTGTTTCTTCAGCAGTTGCTTCCACAAAATTGCTGGCAATTGTTTCTCAAATATATCAGCACATTAAAAATGCAATTCAGAGTTGGGTAAATCTAAACATTTTAATTGGAGGGAATTTGATAGTTATGGCTCTCATTACTGAGTTATCAGAACTTGTTGAAAATTGCTGCTAGCCCCACTCCCCACCCTTTTTATGTGGGAAAAAGCTATTCTAACAGCTGGCGGGAGTAAGTATAGAGACATCTAACATATAAAACGCTGGTAGTAAAACACAAAAGAGATCTTTCAGTCTCCTTTGTTACCTTGAAAAGTCTTCACAAAGCCCTATATTTCAGAAGTCTTGGCCATTATAGTATATGTCAACACTTAGCTTTTACATCATGCCCATTGCATTATCTTGTCAATTTTATTCTGTCTCTTTCTCTCTGTGTGCATGTGTGTGTATGTGTGTATAACTGTTTTGTCACTTTAACATGTTTCTTGATGTGGAAATGGATATACTGCTGCTTTCCATTATTTCCTTGCGCAGGCACTTTGGTTGGATTTTTCCAATTTGATCCCTGAACCTGCAGGTGGCAGTAAAAGCTTAGCAATTTCCTGGATAATTTCTGAGTCCATGATGTAGTAACTTCACTAACTTGATAAATGAAAGTGGGTGGACTTGTTCACGCAATGAATGCTACAACCAAAAATAAGAAAAAGGAGATGGCAAAAATCAAAAGTTTGCTTATTTAACAGGTATTGCTGTACCAATCAGTACCAACCAGCTAACTTGTAGGAGCCACTGTGGCGCAATGGGTTAAACCAGGGGTCCTCAAACTTTTTAAAGAGAGGGCCAGGTCACAGTCCCTCAAACTGTTGGAGGGCCGGATTATAATTTGAAAAAAACATGAATGAATTCCTATGCACATTGCACATATCTTATTTGTAGTGCAAAAACACTTTAAAACAATACAATAATTAAATTGAGGAATAATTTTAACAAATATAAACGTATTAGTATTTCAATGGGAAGTGTGGACCTGCCTTTGGCTGATGAGATAGGATTGTTGTTGTTGTTGTTGTTGTGTGGTTTCAAGTCATTTCAGACTTAGGTTGACCCTGAGCGAGGGCTGGGTAAATGAACTTGGAGGGCCGTATCCAGCCCCCGGGCTTTAGTTTGAGGATCCCTGGGTTAAACCCTTATGCCGGTTGAACTGCTGACCTGAAGACCTGAAGGTTGACGGTTTGAATCCTCAAGACGAGGTTAGCTCCCATCCATCAGCCCCAGCTTCCCATGCAGGGACATGAGAGAAGCCTCCCACAGGATGGTAACACATCCGGGCGTCCCCTGGGCAATGTCCTTGCAGACAGCCAGTTCTTTCACACTAGAAGCGACTTGCAGTATATTCTCAAGTCGCTTCTGACACAGTGAAAAAAAGTTAACTTGTGGTTGAATCCAGAAACCTCCTCTATGTAGAGCCTCATCACACTAGAGAATGAATCCACTTTAAATCCAGTTGCTGCCTCCTGCAGAATTCTGGAGTTTTGTAGTTTAGGGAGGAGCCTTTAACAGCCTCACTAAACTACAAACCCCAGAATTCTGTAGGAGGCAGAAACCGGATTTAAAGTGGATTCATTCTCGTGTGATGAAGTCGTATGTTTAGTGATGTTGGAGGAACTAAAACAAGGCACAACCCTCTCTTTGTGAAAGTGATGGAACGCTGAAAAAGCCTTTGTGAGCACTGCCTTCTACTTGGTTCTCTTATGCCATAGGTTCAAAATTATCGGCTGTGCTACAAATAAACAACAGAGAAGAACAAGGATATAATATGGACGAAGTGGCAGGATTTAATGAGAAGGTTAAGTCTGAGGCAAAGTCTTATATCAAGTTACAACGTCATGGTCCTCAAACTTGATTTATTTTATGGGCTGCTACTTATCTAAGCAGATGAGCCAGCATGGTGTAATGGCTGGAGCACTGAACAATAACTCTGGAGGCCAAAGTTCAAATCTCTGCTCCTTTGGCAAATCACACTCTTTCAGGCTCAAAGAAAGGCAAAGACAACATGCCTCTAAACAAATCTTTCCAAGGAAACCCTGTGATAAGTTCCCTTAAGACAGCCATGAGTTGCAAATGACTTAAAGGCACACAACAATAATTATAAACAGATAAACACACCAAAATAGCCAGTACTTACTATGCACATAGTAAATCTCACTAAGCTGAATGAGATCTCCTTTCATGATAGTGTAACTAGAAAGCCAAGAACAATGTATTCATTTTTGTTCCAATTGCATTGGCTGCGACTCCCATCATCTTTAATCATGAACAACACAGATTATGTGTGGTAGCAATTATAGTCCTGCAGCATCTAAATGGAGCCCCTGGCGGTGCAGTGGGTTAAACCCCTGTGCTGGCAGGACTGAAGACCGACAGGTCGCAGGTTCGAATCCGGGGAGAGGTGGATGAGCTCCCTCTATTAGCTCCAGCTCCCCATGCTGGGACATGAGAGAAGCCTCCCGCAAGAATGATAAAAGAGCAAACATCCAGACGTCCCCTGGGCAATGTCCTTGCAGATGGCCAATTCTCTCACACTAGAAGCGACTTGGTTTCTCAAGTCACTCCTGACACGACAAAAAAAAAAAAAGCATCTAAATGGCCATATCCCTACCCCTTTCCTGTTTGTAAAATCTTCAAGCAGTAGAATTATTAACCATTTTAATGGAGGGGGTATGTTAACTTCAAATGTTTTCACTATTGATTTTACTGGCATTGAGTTGTCCTGGAGTTGTAAGCTACTTTGAGTTCTATAAAAATAGAATAGCAGTGTCATCACATTAGAGGAAAAAGCCACTTAAAATCTGGTTTCTGCCTCCTGCAGAATTCTGCTGTTTGTAGTTTAGTGAGGCTGTTAAAGGCTCTTCCCTAAACTACAAACCCCAGAATTCTGCTGGATTTTAAGTGGATTTTTCTTGAGTGTGATGAGGCCCGTGTCACTCTAGCCTCACACTCTCAGCCGGCAGGTGGCAGTTTATTTCATACATCAGAATAACTACTACTGTGCAGAGAGGCATGCTTGAAGCAGCAGTTTGGTGAATGCCCATTGTTTTGTATAGGTTATCTGATCATTCCTGGTTTGTTGACAGAAAGGAATTTTGTTTTTCAATTTCTATTTGAGATCTATGCCAGATATCACAGGCATGTGTTCTTGGAGGGGTGGGCAAACCGTCTTTTCCGTCTCCGTTAGCCTGAAAGGAATGTAAGAGTAGATGCACAGCCTGCATAACTCCAACCTATTTGTCTTAATCTACAACTAGGTAGAGTAGGTCACTAAACTGGAAGTGAAATGCTAAGTGTGGGAGGGATACTTGGAAACACCAGATTCTTCAGCCTCCCTTGCAAGTCCCTGCCACAGATATTCCACTTACCTTCTCATGTGTTGTTCAAATAACCCCTGGCCTATTTCTTTATTGAAAGTGACCTTTTCTATACAACGATCCATGTTCTAACTATCAAATGTTGCTGCAGAGAACATTGCTTATAAATTCTGGTAGGCACTACGTAGTGCATATGAAAATCCCCCCTCTCCCTCCAATGCAGCTAGTGGCATGCAGAATTTTTCTGCTATACATAGTAGCTGGCGTGATTTAAGAGTGAACACCAAGAAGAAATGACGCTGACAGAAGGGAAACAAAAGACCTGAAGGCACACAACAATTATAAACGGATAAACACACCAAAATAGCCAGTACTTACTATGCACATAGTAAATCTCACTAAGCTGAATGAGATCTCCTTTCATGATAGTGTAACTAGAAAGACCTACTCCGTTGACTGAATTGAAGGGCCGGGCAGACCCTCTATGCCAGTGTTTCCCAATCTTTGGTCCTCTGGGTGTTTTGGATTTCAGTTCCCACCATTCTTAACAGCTGGTAAGCTGGCTGGGATTTCTGAGAGTTGAAGGCCAAAACACCAAGAGGGCTAAAGTTGAGAAACACTGCTCTAAGCATAATATAGTGTAGCAGATGAGCAGGAATTAGGGGCCATTTCATAGAATCTTAGAGTTGGAAGAGACTTCATGGGCCATCCAGTCCAACCCTCTGACAAGAATCATGAAAATGCATTCGAAGCACCCCCGACAGATGATCATCCAGCCTCTGTTTAAAAGCCTCCAAAGAAGGAGCCTCCACCACACTCCGGGACAGAGAGTTCCACTGCTGAACACCTCGCACAGTCAGGAAATCCTTCAGGTGGAATCTCCTTTCCTGTAGTTTGAAGCCATTGTTCCACATCCTCGTGTCCAGGACAGCAGAAAACAAGCTTACTCCCTCCCTATGAGTTCCTCTCACATATTTATACATGGCCATCATATATCCTCTCAGCCCTAGAAGATTTGGACCAGCTCCCAGAAGAGTCCGGTCAGTATGGCCAGTGATAAAGCATTAAGTTCAAAAACATCTAGATGGGTCAGACTCCCAACTCCTAAGTTACAAGGCCAGACTAGGAAAGGCAACTCAGATTCAAATTCACAATTGGCTGTGAAACTAATTTGCTGATAGTAACAAATAATTCTTCTCTCAGCCTAACATATCCCACATGATTGTTAGCATCATATGGATGGACAAGAGCCAGGCATAATGCCACAAGCTCTTTGGTGAAAAATCCTAATATGAACCAAGTAAACAATTGGAGATCAGGGACCACAGAGATTCATAAGTTACCTTGACTAGAGCCATCTAGTAAATGATTAAAAATGTACATTTTTCTTCATATATTTTTGAAAACGATTAGTGAGAGAATACATAGCAACAATCTTGTTGCATTTGGGGGAAGGCAGAAACATTTCTAATGTTCATAGAGGCAAAGTACAATCTTATTCTAAGACGTTGGAATGAATGTGGGAAACAAGCCTCACACGCAAATTTCCCAGTTCTGGAAACATCTGCATTGAAATGCAACCATTCAGGAATGATGAATAGGATGTCCAGGTGCTTCAAAATGAATTATTCTATATGTATACTTTGTGACTATACAGTCTAGAACGATAATAATGGATGTTTTAAAGAACCTAGCGAAATTACCTCTTTTTTCATGTCAGGAGCGACTTGAGAAACTGCAAGTCATTTCTGGTGTAAGAGAATTGGCCATCTGCAAGGACGTTGCCCAGGGGATGCCCGGATGTTTGATGTTTTATCATCCTTGTGGGAGGCTTTTCTCATGTCCCCGCATGGGGAGCTGGAGCTAACAGAGGGAGCTCATCCACACTCTCCTTGAATTTGAACCTCCAACCGATTGTGCCACCAGAATCTCCTTAAAACTCCCTCTGAGCATGCATTGCCTAAGAAAACTTTATAAATTAATGGGGTCCCCATAAGTAGTCAATCAATTTGAAGACAGAAATATCTACAATAGGATCATGATGTATAAAGACAGGTTGGAGAGGCAGGACAAGACAAAACCATCAACATACACTACTTTCTAAGTATTGGACAAACCCTGTTACGGGGAATGAGTGGTTTGTGTTATGGATGGAATCAAGAGTTACTTACTCCTCACAGGTTTCACTCCTTTGTGTGTTTCCCCTCAGGATTTTGTCTCGCAGGCAACAAATGGCAAATGAGATGGACATGGCAACAATTACGACTCCACTGATGAGAGAGGCTATGACCGCCACCCGAAAACCCCGGTCTAGGGGTTTTGGAATCACTAAAGCAAACAAAAACAAAACATGCCCGTCACAAGTCGCACATTATCAGGAGTGTTTCTGAGCAGTAGAACCCACTTTGCCCCATTTATTTTGATCAACACATTTCCAATCCTCATTTTTGCAGAAATTTGAAAGATTCAGGCAATCTTGACCTGCATTTGATGTAGATCACTCTCTACTTACACAAAGTTCAGGAATAATTTTTGAGCCAGTTCAGACTCAGCATACCTTCACAATGTGGCGGAGAATGACTCCAGTAAGAGACGCTTCCTTTAAGCAAGCAGGTCAACCTTCCATATCCCACAAGCTGATATCCCTCTGCACACCAGTAGGTGATAATGGAGCCCAAGGAGCTTCCAGAGCCCGCTTCAATGTAGTAGAACCCATAGCTTGGAGGAAGGAGAAATGTGCACTGAGCTGCCACAGATGAAAATTAAAATAAGTGTAAGTTAATAAAGGAGATGCACAGATCTTTAGCAAACAACGACATTGTTAGGGCCGGGCTTTAGCACAGCAAGTTAATTGCCAGCTGCAGTAAATCTTGCCAACCGAAAGGTTGACAGTTCGAAGCCTGGATTGAGGTGAGCCCCTAGCCTTTAGTCCAGCTTCTGCCTACCTAACAGTTTCAAAAACAGCAATGTGAGTAGATAAATAGGTAGCACTTTGAGCAGGGAGGTATTTAAGGTGCCCATAAGGAAATGCCGGAAAAATCCCGGTGATTTGATCAAGGAGGAAATTTATGAACAAAAGTTATTTGGCAGGGAAGGTGGAGTGACAGCACCCCGTGTGACCGGAACCGAGCACAACCTCCAAGATGCCGAAGATGGACCAATGGATAAGAACATTACTAATTATATAGGGAACCGTGTTGATCAATTACCAGCTGGTTTTGCCCATGTATATTTGAAGAGAAATGCACATTCTCTTTGTTAGTGACTCTCAGTCACTGAAGACAGCAACACACTGGAAAATGCAAGACGTTCACTATATTTCTCAATGGTATAAAAGTAATTGGGTCCCCCAGTGGTGCAGCGGGGTAAACTGCTAAGCTGCTGAACTTGCTGACTGAAAGCTTGGCAGTTCGAATCCGGGGAGTGGGGTGAGTTCCTGCTGTTAGCCCCAGCTTCTGCCAACCTAGCAGTTCAAAACATGCAAATGTGAGTAGATCAACAGGAACCGCCTTGATGGAAAGGTAACGGCAATTCATGCAGTCATGCTGGCCACATGACCTTGGAAGTATCTACGGACAATGCCAGCTCTTCGGCTTAGAGATGGAGATGAGCACCACCCCCTAGAGTCGGACGGGGAAACCTTTACCTTAAAAGGAATTAGATCTACAGTATGCTGTAATGGTACAAAAAGAATTATGTGGTGAGTGTTATTTATTTAAATAGACACCTCTGAAATGAAATGCTTCTATTTAATCAACCACGATTCAGCAATATGGAGATACATTTCTCATTCTAGACCAGAGTTTGGAAAAGTTAACAGTTGAGGAATAAAGTTGCCCCCATCCCCAACCCCAGTAATATTTCCAAGATCTGGCCAAGAGCCACTTCCCTTTAACCAGACTTCTGGTTTCAGAGTCTAGGTCCAAGGAGTGAGTAGAACTGATATGCTTAGGAAAGCATTTTCAGTGAATGGTGTGTGAGTAGGAAAAGCACCGCCTGATTACTAACCCAGTGCTCTCCTGACAGCTTCTCATCCTGCTTACACAGAAAAGAATTCAGATTGGGTATTTCCTGTGTTCCTCTTAACATACCAATCTGCCTTAGTTTCTCCTCTCCAAACTACCACTGTCTCTTAAAGGAAGCTGCATATTTTGCATAAATTAATGCTTGATATGAAATAAACAGTTCTGTTTGCAAAGAAATGTTCAGCTGTTGTGTAATTAATGTGAAGATTGCGATAATTCTATCCATTCTAAAAGAAACAAGATTTTAAAAAGAAACCATAATATGTTGTCAAAGGCTTTCATGGCTGGAATTAATGGGTTGCTGTGAGTTTTCCGGGTTGTGCGGCCATTTTCCAGAAGCACTCTCTCCTGACGTTTGACTACCACTATTGAAAAACTCTAAAATCAGAACAGTGAATAAAGAACAAGACTCAAAAAGCAGGGGAATTCTAGGCAAGAATCAATGATGGCCAGCTAACACCTTCCAACAAAGGATTCCCCCAGGCAGCAACCAGCCAGGCCTTGAAACTTCAGGCCATTAAATCTAACCAAGGTGGCAAATTGCAACATTCACACGTACCTCAAGCAGACAAGAGTTCTTTCACCTACCACAGATATATAAACCTCAATTACTTAGTTTCCAACAGGCCCCTCAACCTCTGAGAATACCTGCCATAGATGTGGGGGGAAACGGCAGGAGAGAATGCTTCTGAATGGCCATACAGCCCAGAAAATTCACAGCAACCCAAACCATAATATGTTTGAAAATATAAAGGACACACTTCTACTTGAACACACATAACCCAACAACACTATTATTGCTTCTGTCTCTTTCCAAAATCGCAGTCGGCGATGTGCTTTAAGGCATGTGCATGAATGTGTGTGTGCATACACAAACATATATATGTATGTTGCAATTACGAAGAATGCATAGAATTGTGTGGGGGAAAATCTCTACCTTTTGAATCCCATTAAGCCCAAAAGTCAATATTTCCTATCAAGAATTAATATACTACTATTTTACAGTTCGTATGGAAACCTCATCTCAAATGTTTATGAGTCATCTATGGGATGACCTAGAATTTACCGTTTGAGCTCTGTTATGAATGTAGCAGGTGCACATATCCCTACCAGCACACAAGAGGTGGCCTTTGGCTGCAGGCCTGCTGACGGAAGCAAAAACAGAGAAACATGGACAATACCTGAAAGATTGACCTGTGAAGCATTCCCATTGGCAGCATCTTTAAGGAATTTCCTTATGACAGTCTCCTCCGCAGGGATGGTTGTTGAGGATTCAGTTGCTTCACTCAAAGTAAATTCTAGGCAACTCCAAGCCAACAGACACAGGACTGTATGTTCCTGGGACCTTAATGTCTTCATATCTTTAGGTTTTGCTGGGGCATCCTGGAGTTCTCCCAAGTTTCTAAAGTATGTGTGTGTACTTTCCCCTTCTTCACGCAAAAGCTGAAGTGGCAGCAGTAAGCTGGATTTTAGGGTTTTAGCCTTGAGAAGGAAAGCCTGTTTATTCTCCAAACAGTTGGATTCTTACAAGGCTATACTAACTCACTGTTTGCTGCAAATAAGTTAGTTTTTTAGTCTTTTCTATCACTTTGTTAACAAGCAGCCCTAGATACAGACCTTTATAATGTTATACACCATTGGAAAAACAGGGGTAATAAAACCAGCACTGTGAGACCATGGAGGCTATTTGGAGACCCGTCATACAATCATATGTGCCAAATAGTGCTGGCACTTTAGTCAAGATAATTCACTTCTAATAACCCCTCAAGATAAGGAGTGTTAACATTGTCAGTGTAATTAACTCTGGATTGTACAGCAACTGATTTATATCTCCTCTCACTGGGCTTACAAGAAAACCAATGCTGAGGATATCCTCTTTTAACAAATGGCCAGATTGCTATCCTGAATATGTTTGCTGATTTTTTATAGCTCTGTCTACATTGTTGATGAGCAAGCTTGTCACAAGGCACTAGAGCTGATTGGAAGGCTGTCAGGTGAATAAATTAATATCGTCAGACACTGCAGACTAATTCAACCAGAGAAGTCAGCCATAGTAGAGCACCTTATGAACCAACCTGGACACAGCATATTATTTGAGAACACAGAAAGGCTGGACCACTCCAACAACCACCATGTCAGACTGCACAGAGAAACCATTGAAATCTGCAAGCATGTGGACAATTTCAACAGAAAGGAGGAAACCATGAAAACGAACAAAACCTGGCCACCAATATTTTTAAAAAACTCTAGAATCGGGATAGTAAATAAAGATCAACACTAAAAAAAATAGGGGAATTCCATACAGGAAACAATCAGGGCCAGCTAACACTGCCCAACAAAGGATTCCCCTAGGCAGAAAGCAGCCAGGCTTTGAAGCTGCAAGGCTATTCAATGCTAATCAAGCTGGCCATTTGCAGCATTCACACTTGCCTCAGACAAAGAGTTCTTTCTCCCACTCTGCACATTCCACAGATATACGAGGGGTATTTTTTAAGTAAGGTCCGTTTGAACATAAGTACACAACGAAAATTTATTTCAAAAAAGTAAATTTATTTTCAGAACGTACATACTTCACTCTATTTTTCGACATAGTTGCCAAGTTTGTTCAAATACTTATCATACCTCTGAACCAATTTTAAAATACCCTCTTCATAAAAACTTGCCGCCTGCTCTGATAACCAAGAGTTCACTGCCGTTTTCACGTCGTCGTCATCATTGACGTCACGGCCATCTTTGAATTGTCGTACCCACTTACGCACTTTGCTTTCACTCATAACAGTATCACCGTACACTTCACAAATCTGTCGATGAATTTCTGCAGCAGGCAGGTTCCTTGCTGACAAAAACCGTATCACTGAGCGAACCTCACATGCGGCGGGTGAGTTGATAGTCTTAAACATTTTTAAAGCACAGAACAGAACCGTACAGGTTAGCTACAGAGCGGAAACTGAGCACAGTTGTTCCCGAGGCATGCCGGTACACGACGCACGCGCTCGTTGTGGTATGCACGCAAACTACTAGTGTCTACAACAAAATGGACCTTACTTAAAAAATACCCCTCGTATAAACCTGACTTGCCTAGTTTCTCACAAACTTCTCAACCTCTGAGGATGACTGCCATACATGTGGGCGAAAAGTCAGGAGACAATGCTTCTAGAACATGGTCATACAGACAGGAAAACTCACAGCAACCCATCGTCAGCATTGCTTTTAAAAAACCCATGTTTTTTAGAATTTAAATGTTACCTATGGCAACCTTTATTTCAACCCCCTCCCAAATGTGGTGACTAGCAACGAAAAAAGCCATTATTATTTATTTTTGATTTCCCAAAGTACGCTATCTGTATTTTAATATAGCTTGATATGCTGATGTACATTTGAGAAAGAGGGAGAGCAATGTATTTTCTCTTCTAATGATGAAACATTGATAAACTTCATAGACTAAAAGCATTTTTTTTCCTTTTCAGAAAAAAAGTCATTTTGTTCATTCTTTGGTCATCTCAAAATGCTATTTTGATCTTTTCTGTCTGATCTGAGTAAACAAACTCAATTCATATGAGCAAAAGGAAGGAGGACAGAAGAACTAGATGTTTATTTTAGTCTTGAATTGATGTGGTTGCAGCCCTCTATATGAAAAGTAGATGAGGAAAAAGGAACATCTCATTGGGCTTTTCCCAACATGCCTAAATGGAGGAAGATCACTCACACTCAGTATTTAGAGAGGAAGCACTGGCTGCCCTTATTTTTCATCCCCTGCCTGAGCAAGACTGTTGATGACTGGGCTCATGGAGTCCCCTTGGGGAGATAGGGAGGTCTATAAATAAAGTTGTTGTTGTTGTTGTTTTTATGGTGATGGAGGTTTCTCGTGCAAATGATTGCCACTAGCTGAAGCCAATAAAAATAGTGATATGCAGAGTTACTGGATCTCAGGGCCGAAACCCCACGTCTCCAAGTCTTGTGCACCATCCTTAGGTTGAAGAAGATGGTACAAATCTTTGGATTTTTGGGGGGGATCCACTCTAGGCAAGACTAAAGAGTTGGTTGAAAATCTCTAGCTGAACAATGAGAGCAGCTGCTTCCTATAGCTTCAAAGTTTCAATTGCATGGTTGCTGCAACTTCCAAAGACTTTCCAAGGGTCTCAACATATGTGTCATCCTTCCTTCCCAAATGTTGTGGCACCAGGTTTCCTTCTCCACCTCTCTCTGCATCCAGCTCCTAGCTAGAAACAAATGGAGTGGATTAAGTGTTCAATACCCCCATCTTACTACATAGGTGAGAAGGAACATGACCTGAGTTTTACCTTTACCTGGGAACAGTCCAAACTTTAAATCATATTTCTGATTTAATTTACAACAAGGAACCATCTTTCTCTATGAGGAATTATATTGGTTCTTAATGCATAAATCTTAATGTCATCACCAGAGGATTTCCTTAAGTCTATTGTTTTGGTTCATAAAACTCAGGGCCAGGGACAATACTGAACTGGCAAGCCTGACTAGCAACCAAATAGCTTTGTTTAAAACACTATGTTCTGCATTGTTCCTGAATTGTTTTCTCCATTCATACTCCTTCATATTGCTGTTTCATGTCATGTTCCCTCTCCATACTTCCACTCAGGCTAGGCTCAGCAGGGAATAACTATGAGCCATTGGCACCACTGTTTCCCACATTGGCTTTCACCTCACCCCGCCCTTTTTTTTAAAGGAGTAGTATGTATTTTGTGTTATGGAGCCATGGCAAGTTAAAGTGATGCGAAACCACACTAATTCTACAGTATAGATACATTTGTAGTTTCAAAATGGACTGTTTGCTTAGGGCCCTTCCACACAGCCATATCAAGGCAGATAATCCACAATATCTGCTTTCAACCGGGGTATCTGAGTCCACATTGCCATATAACTCAGGTCAAAGAAGATAATGTGGGATTTTATACAGCTGTGTGGAAGGGGGCTGGGGTTATCTGTCATGTAATTCATGACTCAGATAACAAATCATGGTTAGCTCTCAAATCATGGCTCATTATGATGTGCCAGGTTAAGTTTTATTCAATGCTTAGACCATAGGTCTTTCAAATATAAGGCAAACAAACAAATACATGAAAACCAGATTATTAAATACAATATCAAATACACCATTAAAATCCTATAAATTACATATTTCAATGGTGAGATATATCCTTAAAATACTACTTAAGATACTGCATGGACTAGCACCTGTATAGTTAAAACCAGGTAAAACCAAGTAAATATAGCATTATTAAAATTTAAGCAGGGAACACCTTGGATATACTGTAGGTAAAGGTAAAGGTAGTCCCCTGACATTAAGTCCAGTCAAGTCCAACTTTGGGGTGTGGTGCTCATCTCAATTTCTAAGCCAAAGAGCCAGTGTTGTCCGTAGACACCTCCAAGGTCATGTGGCTGGCATGGAGTGCCGTTACCTTCCCACTGGAGCGGTATCTATTGATCTATTCATATTTGCATGTTTTCGAACTGCTAGGTTTTTCAATTATGGCCTATGATGCTAAATCTTATCATATGTTTGGATGGCATTGGGCCAATTAATATTGTGTGACACACGTGCTGTTTTATCTTAGGCTGAAAATTCAGATTGAATCATGGCATGTACTTTCCTCTCTTAAAAGGAACTTTAAATACAACCAAGTGAATACAGTGTCTTCTTGTTCTAGAAGTGAGCCAAAAGATTTCTGCTTCCGTCCATGCTACTTTTTAGGACTCTGGTTGAGCTGCTTTGAAGCTTGTAAAAATGTGTGGCTCTGGATGTTGTTCCTGGAGGCAAAGAGAGTACCTGGCTCTCCTATTTATATGTACCAAGCTCACAAATTCAGTCCTTGTGATGACCTCATGTGATATAACTGCATGAGAGGAAGCAATATACGTTTTGGCGTGCAAAGCGGACTAGCCAGTTGAGCATTCGTCTTTTGAATTATTTTAATCACAGGCGTCTGTAAATTAGGCTTCTTCATTGTCTGTTTGATAGACAAAATACTCACAGTAGCAACAAAATAAAAATAACCTTAACAAAACCAGCCTCTGTGTAGACAAGGTTTGTGCCCCAGGACAGGGTCAGTTAAGCAAATGCAAAGCTAAACACTCTTCTCCAATTGTCTGCCTCTCCGTCTCCCAACACCACTTCTGAAAGGCATTACATGTTATTCTTTTTGACCTATTGAAAGTTGCTGAATGGTAAGACAATTGTTATCTAAGTTTTCTTGATTTAATGGGTTTGCTCACTGTAGGATGAGTAATTGGTATAATTTTTCAGTGTTGAAGCTGCAGTGCCATTTGTTGTGCAGCCATTTTTTTCCATCCATGCACAAACAATAGTTGCGAAGACTTAGCATCCTTGATAGCACAGAATAAATTAGTAAACTTATAAATAAACTTTATTTACTAAGTATAGAGAAAAGGGAAGAATTAATGAATTGGATGAAAGAAGGAATTGACTGGAATATTGTGGGAATCGCCATCTCTGAGAGAAGAAAGGAGCTTAAGCACTCCACACTACAACGTGATATTTAGACATCCTTGATCCTTTCTTGAATGGTATTCATTCACAGATATTGATAAGCAATGTTTCCC